CTCGCGCAGTTGCATACCTCGCGCAGTTGCAAACCACGCGCAGCTGCACTACTCGCGCAGTTGCTGGCCACGCGTAGTTGCAGAGCACGCGCAGTTGCAGACCAAGCGCATTTGCCGACCTCGTGCAGTTGCAAACATCGCGCAGTTGCAAAGGGCACAAAACGGACCTCGCGCAGCTGCAGACCTCACGCAGCTGAAAACCTCGCGCAGTTACAAACGCTTCACATTGACATCGCGCAGCTGCAGACCTCGCGCAGTTGCTGGCGACGCGCACATGCACAACACGCGCAGTTAAAAACCTCGCGCAGTTTCAAACGGGGCCAATTGACCTCGCGCAGCTGCAAACGTCGCGCAGTTGCAAACCTTGCGCAGTTACAAACCTCGCGCAGTTTAAAACCACGCGCAGCTGCAAACAGCATAATTTACCTCGCGCAGTTGCATTCCTCGCGCAGTTAAAGTCCTCGCGCAGTTGCAGTCCTCGCGCATTTGCAATCCTCGCGCAGTCACCGACCTCGCGCAGTTGCAAACCTCGCGCAGTTAGCGCGCTCCCGCCAAAAAGACGATAATATAATTTCATTACCGTTTCCACCCCTGCTATTTTCTGACTAAGCTTCTGCCATACCAGCTTTTTGACCCACCTCGGTTTACTATCAGTGGGAAAAGAATTGAACCCCGTGGTGGCGATACTCGGTAGGATAAGACGTCGTGACACTTTTTTCGATATTAAAAAAGTTACCCCCTTAAAATTATTTAGTTGTCGTTGAATCTTCCGAGAGTATTTTTTTTTTCAAACAATGTCCTGAGATCGCAACTTTCGCTTAAAGTCGGAAAATTTGATATTTTCGCCTAAAAATGTCCCGATTGCGCTTAAAAGTCCTCTGGGTGACTTAGAAACAGCGGCCAAGTGTGAAATGTTTTAAAAATGACCACTTAAAGTATTCCAGGCGTTCTTGGTCGGCCACGAACAAGCATTCTACGCCTCGATGTCAACGTAAAATTGCCCAAAATTCACCCAATGTCATCAAATACTAAGGGCCCACGCCCAATGTGGGTGGCCTGGGCGACTCACGAGGAGTTTACTCGAAAGTCTTTACCTGAGAGTGTGGAGGACGAGTGTGCAAATTTTTACGCAGACGGGAGGGGGCGAGAGGTAGGGGGTAGACTGGCTCTTAAAAACCCCTTTTTACAATTTTAAAGGTCTTAGCTTCAAACTTTGTTTATTTCGATGAAAAAAGCCACTGCAAAAATATCCATCTTAACTTTAAGAACACGTGTTTGGAAGCCATTAACAAAACAAATTTGCTCTAAAATTTAAGAGCAAATGTTTTGTGAAAATTAAGCACTTGTTTTGAAAATGAAGAACGTGTTATGAAACGACAAAAGTGGTTTACTTTTCCATCCTAACGCAAATCTGGAAAATATTTTAGTTCTTATCCGTACGGTCAGATGTTCAAACCCATCTTTGTACACATTTACATGTTTACCTTAACTTACCTGGGTTCACCCAGAAAACCATTTGGTCCTCAGAACTAAATTAGGGTCGATACGACTAAAAAAACTAACAGCTTGGTAGAACGAATATTTAGTTCTTCGGAGGCTTGACCGAAGTTTAATTGAGTTAACGCTCGGTATTTTGTTCGTGGAGCGAAATTTTAGTCCACTGGACTAACTGGGAAGCCAGTTTGCTGGTCGCCAAGTTACAAAACTTTAGTCAATGAATACTGCCATGTCATTCAACAAAATTTTGATCCCCAGGATCAAAATATGATTAAATTTCTGATTTCTTTATAATTTAGTTGGCATGACAGAATTTTGTCGGTTTCAAAGACTAAAATTAGGAAGGGACTTGATGGTTGAAGGTTAGACGCGTACTTAGTACGATTCCAGAAAGCCGAACACATTTAGAAAAACAAGGCGATTGTCGAAATTTGGAAATTCTTACCCTGCAACTCTAACGACGAATGAAGTAGAATAGTTGACAATAAAAAAGTGAACTTCCGAGCGTTGAAGTTGAGCAGGCACACTTTAAAAAATTTTGGCAGTTTCGTCTGCTGCTACACTATTGAGTTGATGATGTAGGCCTCTGAGATGAGAATATTTCAGGCCCTTCTTGGATTAAGCAGATAGGTAAACAAAGTGTTCTGCTACGAATGTCAAAGTGGCAACAAGTCACTCAAAGTTGAAACAAAAGTCGTGCACTAAAGTTTACCAAGCCGATTCTGGAAACCGATTTGAAGGGCTGACTAGTATTAGACTGAATTTAAACGATATGGTATCCAAACTACCCAACAAAATCTTGAATGAATGTCAGAACTAAATCGTAACCTGACTCTACTGCTGTTTGTTTCCATCGGACCCTCACTCTTAAATTTCACTATCTCCTGATTTCCTGTATAATGTTGTTAGAATTTTAAAAAAATGAATTAAAATTACTAACATAGTAATAGAGAGGACATTGGAAATGCTGACACACCCGAAGGTGAGACAGTTTCCAACAGTTGGCTTAAATTAAATAATCTGTATAACAAGAATAAGTTTTAATCTTATAATTTACATGTTTACTTAAGTAAGTACAGACACACATTAAATTTATTTTTAGAAATTACAATTGTAAATGTAAATTTCTGCAAACTTATAATGCATTGCGCAAGGAAACAAACTTTACTCCATTTCTTATTCCATAGCGCAGCCAAAGAGGCTGGTGGTTACTGAGCTGGGCTGGATGCCTACACAAAATTTCACCATTTTCTATGACTTCATAAGCCGAAAAATGATTATTAAATGCTAGAACATTGAAGTCTTGCAAAATAAAAGTAAGTTGAGAGTTCCCATGAATTAAAATGGACTCAATTTTACCAAATTTTGGTGCATCTTCTGTGATTCCATAAACTACAACACTGTCAATAAAGTATTTTGTACCACCATATTCAACAAACTTTAAACAGGCAACCCTTTCATTTTCTAGAATGTTGAGATTTACAGAAAACGCGTCAAAGTGTGGAACGATTCTCGCAGGGCAGTGAGACCGTTTACCACTTACAAAGTTTAAGTCAAAATGATTTTTTAGAAGAAACTGATAAGACATTTTGAGTTGATTTTTAATCATGAGAGTAACAATAATATTTACTCTTGACTCAGTAGAGTAGGCAGCTATTTTGCCTTCTCTATTTTTACTTTCATACCTTGATGTAGATGTATGCACCAGTGGCCCTACAGCCTTAACATATCTCCAATAGTGGAGAAGTGCATGATGCACAGGCTTTAGGTGCTCATTAAATGTTTCTATGTACAATTCATGGTGCTCTCGAACTTTGTTTCTGAGAAAAACATCAGTACCACGGGGAAAGCTAGGGGCATACAAAATATCAAGCAAATCACGTAAGACAAGGTAATATTCCCATACTGGCTCATCTTCAGGAATAAGGTCACCTATCATTTCTCCAAGATATCTTGTTAGGCAAAGACTTTCTGCACCAGACAAATTAAATTTTGTTGCTGTTAGTTTGTCTTCACCCAACTTCGTGAGAGAGGGCTTGTTGCCACTTTCATGTGGACCCAACTGGAACGCACCAACTCTTACAATAAATACATCATGTGATAAATACTGCCTAATACGAATAAGCCAATACAATATCAATGGTAAAGAATAGGCACATACGCCTTCTTCAAACTGATGTAAGAGGTCCCCGCAAACATTTTGGGTGACATGGAAGGATTGCAGGTCATTAAAAACACATTCCTCTTTCACTCCAGTGCGATTATAATTATCTAAAGCAACGTCAGCTGCATAATTTTCCCTATTGCGTAACAGTGGATCACTATCCTCCAGCTGAAAATGGAGATCATCTCTATGAATTCTACATGTACGACATGAATGGTTTGCCACAAAACATGCAACAAAGCCAAGTAGTATGTTAAGTCCTAGACTGTCACCTAAAATTAGTCCAAGTACAAAATACACCCTCACAGTTCTCTCTGGTAAATTTACAAGGATTCCCTCTGTTTCCAGAAATTTTAACTCCTGGATTAATGGCTCTAGAGTTTTTCTGTTTCCATAATCTTTCCTATCATTGGCATAAAACAAAGCCGCAACAAATATATATCTTAAAACAGAGAGAAATTCCTTAGGCATGCAAGGGATTTTGTAGTAAATAGCACTTACTTTGTCGTCCCCTGCATGAGAACCTAATCCATTATTAGATTCATAATCATCATTAAAAGCAAACAAAGGTAGAACAATTTTACCCTCTGCTTCATAAGGTTCGGATAGTTTATTCCACAGCTCTCCCTGTACAAAATTGGAAATAACTTCCTTGTCATTAGTGAGATTTGTAAGATTCTCCATTATTTTATCAAAAACACCCGGAAGTTCTAAAAATAATTTCAATGTTGAACGCAACCTTACAAACTGTCCATATGCTGGTACCATTTCCATGTACATAATTCCTTTTCTTTGCACAGGAGCTACTCTGCTGTCAATAAAATATTTTTCTGGAGGAACAAAAACCTTGGCATCAACCAAGCAAGCAATGCGTTTTGTTTCTGTGTCCAGCTCCTCAAAGGGGCTCTCCAGAACTTGAAAGAAAGCCTTTAATTCATCAACTTCCTGAATAATGTGTTCATCAAGGTCATCTAATTGAGAAAAAGTGTGACAAACTTTCTGCTTTAAAAGAGAAACAAATCCACTTAAAAAATCCTGAGTATAGTTAACAACTTCTTGAACAGTAGACCTTGGAATGGTGTCCTTACTGTACAATTTAGCTGTAAACATCAAACTGGCATCATACACAGCTTTAGCAAAAGTGTCAAAGTGAACTGGATCATTAATCACTTCAGCCTCAACCTCCTGTTCTAACTCCTGTTCAATCTGAATCTGAGCTGGATTAATTTCATTAGCAACATGTAACTCATCTAAAGGAGCACCACCCATGTCACCTCCATGTTTCCTACGTAAATGCTTCATGAAATTTTGTAGACTGTCAAATAAGATCCCAGCACAAAGTGGTGATTGTCGACAACTATAATGGTTAATGACAGCATTATTAGTGTGATGCAAACGTAAATGGTCAATTAGGATATCAGGTGATAAGAAATTATCACCGCACACACAAGAGAAAACCATTGTAGACAAAAAAGGATTTCAATATATAGCTTATATATTCAGGGCAAGTTCCAACACCGTAACAATTGCAGCAACAAATTTAACTATATCACAATATTAACATTAATTAATAACAAGTATTAAAGCTTATAATAACAGCCAACTGGAAAAGAACTAAGAGATCAATTGAAAAGAGATCAGAAGAACAATCAACAATCAACAAAAAATAATGGCTAACAATATCAACAAATAACTGATCTGTGGGTGTAATATATTTAGTTCTGGCATAAGGCATTATAGGAAGATATGAGCTCATGTGGAACCTCAGAATCCCAATCAGCAGTGATGTTATACAGTACCCGCTGAATCATCATCCAAGGTTTTTGTGATTCTGGTGGATAATCAGCATGCAAAGCAATAATTGCTTTAAAGCAAACGTCTACAGCCTTAGCTAAAGAGTTAATTCGGTAGAGAATACCAGAAACGTCAACATAAAATTCCTTGATGCTTGCCAAATTTGGTCCAACTACCACCAGAAAGGGCTGTGACTTCTTATTCTCTGCGTACAAGATCTCTCTCCTCTCTTTGAGCTGTTCGGCAATAGCTGCAGTGCCCTGTAATGTACAATTTCTTTGTCAGAAACATTGTGATGTTTATCTTGATCAAAACTGTAAAACTTCATTTTACAAACAAATTCAGAACTAAAAGTGATACAGGGACACTAGATGTAATTTAGTTGAATCACAAGAGAGCAGAGGAAAACTAATGAAAACAAAAAGGAGAATGAAGCAAAATTTAGACAAATAGAAATACGGTGAAATATGGTGTGAGTAAAATGATAAAAGAAAAGTACATGAAAATAATTCGGTAAGGTAAAGAATGTTACTTACAGTTACATGCAGCAAGAGCCCAGCTCGACTGTTTGAAACAAGTAGCCGTCGTTTAGCAACTCCTTTGACCTTGGTGGTTGGTGGGCAGAGTGCAGGTAAAATGTTCAGGGCCAAGACTCCCTTGCTTCCAGCTGAGGACAAAAGAAATTAAATTAACTTTAAATGTAGGCTATCTATTAAAAATAATGTAGTTGCAGAGGCAAACTACTAGTATCAGCAAGGCAAATAACATCCCCATTGTCATGAGTGTTTTGAGACCCAAATCCATGTGTTAAAAATGTTTTACAGAAATTACTATCATGTTTAAGTTACACATGGGTAACACATGAAATAAAACAGATACTCACGATTTGTCACAGTTTGTGCAAGAGCATAGCAATCCTTTGCCACTGGGTCTGTCACGTCTTGCCCAAGTTGAATTATAGTTTCAACAAAAAGACCCCAATTTGTTAAAAGACTAAGCTCCTTGTCCGGGTAGATGCAGTTGAAGTCCAACTCCAGCTGGAAACAAAACAAACGTTAATGTTTAAACAGGGGAAATGCAAAACAAATGCAGTGAAAATTATTGTGAAATTCACTCACAAGAGAAAATCCTGAGGGGTGTTTCAGTACAGGCCACTTAGTAACGTAATTAGCAATGGCTTCACCCTCGTCATGGTATAACTCTTGAAGTCTCTTTGGGGCAGACAAACGCCACTTCAATTTCAGTAAAGGCCAGTCATCAAAAATAGAATTTGTCTCTAGCCACAGGTAAGCATCTTTAATTTCTTGTGTGAGAACTGGAACAAGAAGATAAAAAATAATATTTGACATCTTTTAAGATAAGATGTATAGTAATTTTTGGAAAAGATTCTTACCCACACCGGTTACATTTGCATAAGGATTGTTGTTGTTTTGAGTTTTAGGATGCCGTCCTGCTCTGGAACTCACTCCAGCCAGCTCTCTCTCACGTTTTAAAACATTCCTGTATCTAACGGGTAACTTCCCCTTCGATATGGTCTGTGAGGAGCCTTCTGTACCCGGCTCTATGTAATAGATGAACTGAAAAACAGAAACAAATTAGAGATGTATATACCCAGCAATGTAAAAAGGAAGGGACAAAACTTACTTCTGATTCTCCAGGAAAAGTAGCTTTGATCTTCAAGCTCAAAGT